GTAATTCCATATTGTTTTTTGCTCTCCCTATGACAAGCTATTGTTTTAATCCTAAGTTATAATTTATGGTTTCTCCTGGTGGGCTAAGGTGACCGATGTTGAGTTCGAATAGCTTAATTGAAGTAGCCAATTGACTCTGAGCAAGCACTTAGCTCTGGCGTAGAGCAGCGCCTCTGAATCCGTGATTGAACACATTCCGCACTGCCAGAGCAAGCATAGAAGCAAGGAGAAAGCAGAAGTCCTGGAGTTGGCCAGAATACCTTTCGTGTAGTCATTCCATTTCGCAGTCGACTTCTGTTGCATTACCCCTCATACGTAGTAGTTTTAGTGTCAGTGACATGATCTGATAAACTGCTTGTGCACTCGTGTGATCATGTCATCCGCCATTACTTGCAAAGCACATGACACAGCGGTATAGCAGTGGCTTCCCTAAGCGTGCAAATGTGTTGAAGAGAGTTCCGGTCCACTTTGCCTGTTTCGGCAGAGCGTTTTTTTTTTTTTTTTCTCCTTGAAGTCACTCGCGCTCTGAATATACTCCGACTCTTGGAACACTTTACTCCAGCAGTAACTCTACAATTGGAACACGCTTGCTCCTAAGAAGCAAAAAAGCTTGCTCAAGCTCCGCCATTGTAGGTCAACATAAGATTTCGGTGCTTTAGTGTCCCCGTTTGAAAAACATGCAAACTTAATGGGAAGACTGGTATTGCTTTAGAACACGAAAATGTCTTGTGGGCAGAACTAGCTTGATATATAGAAAGTTTGAGAATGAGCTGTTGCTCTTGAGAAATGTGCGGCAAGTGCCTATTTCACATTGAAAAGTTGCCAGCAGTTGCAGCTTGGAAAGAGATGCAGCTGTATTTGACACAGCATATGGATATTTACCTAGATGCACAACATATGCACTGCTTCTGGGTTTATTCAAGCCAGTGGTTGGCAGTCATACCTTTGATTGACATTTAAATGGACAATGACACCCTATTTTTCATCACAATTTGCAATGTGTGATAAACCTTGCGACTTCACAAGGATGCCAGTGAAACTTTAGCGCATTTGGTTCAACAATAATTTATGACTGAATATCTTTACAAACATGCGAGCAGCCTGAGAGTTAGGCAACATTGGTGCACCCACAAGCTGTGACGTAACAAGCTGCTTGCTGTGGTAGCGTCTTCATTCTTGCAAATGGTTTTGTTCTGTGCGGAGCTGCGCATTCAATTGAGTTATTTCATGCTTGTTCAGCATTATATCGAAATGGAGCAACTTGCAATGACTGGAACTTTGATCAAAGATGACAGCTTCACTTCACGCAGCAGCTGCTGTCACACACGCCATAGCGAAATGTTGGTTGCTGGCGGTGGGAGGGAGCCAGCAACATCTGGGGTTGATGACAGGTAGTTTGCTGGTGCAAACACAGCGAAAAAAAAAAAAAAATGGTGGCTATGACGTCATTTGGGTGCACTGTATTGACTGCAGGGTGGTGACGACGAGAAAGTAGGGGGATGGGGATCGCCATGGGGTCACGTTTGGGGGATGTCAATGTCGGGAGGCTCGTTCGCCCATGCAATCTTTAAAATTCATGCAAAATACCTTCCAAGCTATATTCGCTGTTTATATTTTGCAGGTGATATATGCATGTTCACGGGAATCAATTCCACAGGCTATATTCGCCGCAAAAATTTGTGTCAGACTCAGTGCCCCTTCAATAGATCTCAACTGCCCTGTCACACAGGAGGTCTGAATGTCATTTGGTGCAACGAATGCCATTCTATCTGTGGTGGTGCTACACAGGAAAAACTTATACGTCATTCGCTCGTGATATTCACTATCTATAATTCGGTGGGGGAAAAAAAATGGTCGGAAAAGTTAAAGGTAAACTTACCCCCGTATTCAGACACGCTTCTTGACTTGAAACCGCATTCAATGCAGAGCGCTTGAAATGCGTCTGTGCATTTATGCTGCCTTGGCACCGCCTAAAGACAGCACTTTTGAAACGCGTTTCAGATAAGCTATTCCGTCTTCAAGTTTTGAGTGATGTTCAATACGTATTAAGGACCAGCCTCAACTGTCATTGTAACCTGAAGTGTTCAGTTAGCAGCACTTTTTGTTGCACTGTATGATAATGTAGCTGTCTGATAACTGCCATTTTAGTGCATGAAATGCTCAAGTATGATAATGTCAAGCAAGCCTGTGACTGCTTGCTTTATTTTGAACAAATTTCTTTCAAAGGCAATAAATGGAAATACGTTATACCAGTGTAGGGAAGCTGCAGACACAGCATTTTTGCATTTGTCTTCTTGGCAGCTTGCAAAAGTGTTTGTTCAGAATTATGAATGTGGTGTGTTTAGTGGTAACAAGCCAGACTGTTTTCAGATGTCTGACTCTGGAATTTCTTGTTTGTTTACTCAGCTGCCAGAGGACGAGGTCGAGCCAGAGCCTTATTCCAGAGACGGAAATGAAACGGCTGCCCTCCCTGTTCTTCATATCTTGTGCACACCACCTCCGCGACGGCGTCACCACAGAAGTCAACATTTGTCGGGTCTACACATGCCAGGCGCATGAATCATATTTTGTGTTGTGTGCGGATGCCACAGCGTTCATCTCTCATTGAAAAGCGCCATAACCTCTGGAAGAAATAAACTGTTCTGGAAGAAATAAACTGTTGTCGGTGAAGATCGCATCTTCTGGCATGACACGCTGTGGTGCCTTTGTCTTTCCACCCTTTACTTTTTTGTGGGTTATTGTTGCTTTGAGTTGTGAAGATTAAAAAGGAATAAAGCTTTTTAGACTTACAAAAAATCTTCGTCAGTGGTAAGTGAGCATGAAGCAGTGCAAAGCTTGTTGGTAAGTGCACAAACTAATTATGGTCTATAGCAATAGCCTGAAGCTTGATTAAGATTTCTAGCCGCATGCATAAGCCCATAATCAGCTGCAAACCAGTCAGCCGCTGGTCAAAAAGACAGTGTTATGACATAGGCAAGTTATGAGCATTTCAGTGCTTGCCCTTATGCAGCATAATATCTGTGTGTTAATTGCTAGGGCATTGGTAATCGGGCTTGGGCAGCGCTTGCTCGGATTATCGCTAAGGGTTGAAAAATAGAAATCTACCAGTCATTTTTTTTTAAATGTCTAGGCTGGCTGTGATATCGAAAAAAGTAGCTTTCATACCGTTTTCATGTTTCTAAAACACCAGTATTGCTCCATCGGGCTTTCAAGAAACTCGATGCAAAGGAGCCAGAACAAGTTGAGCCGTGCTTGGAGTGGTACCTTTATTGTTGCAGTACGAATTAGCGTTTATTACTCATCGGGGTATCAAAAAGTCGCATGTCCAAACAAAACTCGTACGCACGTACGAGCATTCGTGCACGCCGTCTCCGCAATGGCGCACTTGCGGCATATAGTGAAACAGGGCAACCAACGTTTTAACCGTACAGTCAGTTGGCCGTCAAATCTATATTTGCCTTACAAGGGGAAACTGCTGACAACGCGTTGCTGCTGAAACGGCGGAAGCTGCGCAAGCCATCACCCAGGTGACGTTGAATCGGCCTGCGCGCGTCTGTGTTGCGGAACTCGGGTCTGGGGTTGGTATTGCGCAATCGTTGTTTACATACCTGAATGACCGCGTGATTGGAAGAGCAAGTGCTTGTGTGAAGCGCAGTCGCACTTTTTTTCACATAGCCTATAAATGGTAGGGCGAACTGTCTTCGGATGGACGATGTTAATGATTTTATCGCAAGTTATTTAATTAAGGAGTTCGGTACTGGGACGACTTCTCCGACAAGCGCGCGAGCTTGTGAGTGAAAAGATTGAAGCAGAAATTTGTGTGGCGCAGTCGCAGTGCGTGGTGATTCGAATTCGCTCGCGTGTCGTGCGAAGCTTGTTTGTTATTCCTCGCGAACGCTGCTTCGCAGCAGCAAGTTTTGACTGCGCTGGAGAAATTCGCGCGCGTCGTGACGTGCGAGAGGAAATCGGTTCTGACAGCAAGGTAAATACCGGACCACGCGGTTGTGGCGTTTGGTGCGCTTTTATTTTATTCCGTCGCTAACTAGTTTTGTTGTGCAAACGTTCGCGGCAGGCCGTCCGTGAGAGACCGCGAGCTGTGTCTGAGCCCACGCGACGAATGTATGACACATAAACATTGGCCACGCTGGGGTGATTAAACTCCCGGCAGTTCAAGAGCATGGGCGCTTGGCCAGCACGAGGAAGTGTTGTGCGACGTTGTCGAAGACCGGCTTTTTGCGCTGCCCAAGTTAGTTCAGCTAAATCGACAGTACTGGTATGCCCTTTCTCGATTACTGTCGCTTTGTAACGCGTCAACGTGCCCTGCGCGCGTGTGCAAATCACGAGGACTCTGTTTTCCACAGGATAAAGTAGTCCGGCGGCGGTAGCACCCGCGGTGTGTATTCGGGAACTGGCGCCATGACCTACTACACTCCTGACCTGTTCAGATAGCGGGGTTCCTATGGGAGCGCGTGTCCCCGCTCTCGTTCAATCGCTCGCCGTAGGTGGCGCTACCTATAACCTGTTCGTCTGCTTCTTTACGGTTGTTTTGTAGGCGCTGGTATAAGAATGCCTGCTTTCTGTGGTGAACTGTCGGCATATATGTGACTATTTCTTCCCATACATTGCTGGTCAAGTAAGCTGTTCAGTGCGCTTAAGAATTTATAGCACACTGGTTGACAAACGTGGAAACCCGTGGATTTACATGATTTTGGACAGCCTATGCGTTGTCGCGTGCATTTTATTGCAAAAAAAATTCTGAATGTCTTTTAGTATTATTATTTCTGGATATTTCTAAATTGTGGATCATAAATTCGCACTACGAGTGCTTTGTTGGTTAAAATTTGACTACAAAGAGTGAAGGTGACGTCAGCGAACAGGTGCTGCCTAGCGCCACGCCGCTCGTAGGTGACGGCCCTAGCGGCAGAAGGTATGAACTAGAACGTGGGCGCTGGAAGAGGTGCTCTCTGGGCAGGTCAGGAGTGTAGTAGGTCATGACTGGCGCTGACTACCCCTTGAGCTGTGTTAGGCTTAGGAAGGGGCCTGCAATTGGCCCTTAAGCGATCCCCCCCGTATCCGCGCGGGTATTCTACTACTAGAAGGGAAAAACAAGTGTAACATAGCAAGTACTGTAAATAACCATTCCCTCTCAGATGCCTTGTTTTTATACTTGTGCCTGTGATATTTCTGGACTGCGGCGTTTTGGCCTGTACGAGAATCGGCCGTTTAGGCCTAGTGGTTCTGGTGATCGACTCAACCCACTTCGTACTACGCTACGAAGCTGCAATAGTTGTACAATAGTATAAATAGGAAAACAAGCCGGACACCTAGGAGGTGAGCGCCAACTTAGGACTGGACTCTTTAAACAGTTTTTTGTGTGTGTGAGTGCGTGGAAACAAGAGTGGGCAACGTCCCATCGTCCAGCGAACAATCATGAGTGGAGACACGAAGCGGAAAAGCAAGAGCAACACGAGGTTTGTGTACCGCCTCTCTTCGGGGTTTTCTGCGTTCAGCGCTCGGGTTGTCGTGGCGTGCAACTTCGTGGGCAGTGAAACCCCAGCGTTTCTGCCGCTTATTATTTGCCGCGACTCGAAACATGCTTCTCGCATTAACATGTAGGCCTAGGTTAACCCATGTTCGCCTATGAATCGATGCAGTGTAGCAGCATCTTCGGCCCGCGTCTGTGGGGTGTCCCCCCGATGCTGAGGAATGCGCCAGCGCAGTTTGTTACACGGAATGCAGTTACGTTATTGCGCGGTTAAACGCACGACTTCCTTTTCCCTGTCGCCTGGATGTTCGTGGTGCAAAACGCCCCGATGTGTGTGCGCGCGTGTGGGAACAAAAGTTTGCGTCGGACTCTGTCAGAAAGCTACATTAGCATGCCTCCTCGCTTTGCATCCGCGCTTTTTTTTTTTTACAAATACTTTATTTCAGCGCGAGCACTCGAGTCGGCGATGAACGGTGAGCATTCTGCTATGTTCAAGCTGAAAAAAAAAAAAAATCTGTACTACACTTCGTGTGGAAAGTCTGGCTCTTGTGATTTCATCGCGACCGCGTTTGAACTTGTTTGTTTCAGCTTCGTAGCAGGAATTTTAAGTGGTTCTTGTCTTGGAAAGGCCCCGCGTTGTCCGTTTGACGTGATGCAGTTGCGAGCAACGTGTAACAACGCTTCCTAGTGACCTCGTTGATGTCCCAAACATTCCTCATCCAAGGGCGCTTCGTCTCGAAAGGAAACGAAGAGACGTCCGCGTCTCTTGCCTCTGCATTGTTCTGGAATGCGATTCTAGTTGAAAGTAGCCACGTATCCGTCTCGTGAGCGAACAGTTTTCTCTTCTGTCTGTGAACACTGCCCCCCCCCCCCCCCCCCCTTTTTTTTTTGTGACAAGGGAAAAATAGCTGCCACCTCAGTCTCGGTGCAACGACTTAGCTGTTTTCGACTGTGCTGTTCATTTGCGCAGGTGTAGTAGACCTAACCAGTCCAACTCAAAGCGGTGGTTCTGGGCACTGCAAAAGATGTAGTAGTACAGTTGTGCTATCTATGTAGCATGCCCGGGGCCGCCGCTGCTGGTGCGGGTTCGGGCTGCGGCTGCTCTCAATGAGTTGTAAGGTTCAAGTACCACAGGCGTCAATCCTTGCCGCCGGGTATATGCGTCGTTCGTAGAGTTTTCAGCGAAATTTCTAAAAAAGGTCCGACAGTACTTCGGCTTCGCTTAACCGTTTAGTGCTACGTGTCAAAGGTAAAACCACTTTTGTACAGAACACTTTTGTTGTGCTATGGACAGAGCCAATGTTAATTCGGGTGCAACATCATTCACCTGTTTGCAAAATCTTTTGTTAGACCTATTCTCCGAAACTGGTGTAACAATGATGTTACACATTCTTCGAAACACCGAATTTGTCATAGTAATTCGTATACACATAATGTTACTGATATTGTATGGACATCATGCTGCTTGCAAATTGCTGTGCTCTGTCAGTGAAAGGAAATTTTCAAATAGGTTGGAACTGTAGATAGAAAGAACTTCAGACCAAGAAAACATGCATCTAGAATGCATACAGCAGTGAAAAAATGGGTTTTACTTTGACCTGCAGTACCTATAGGAATTTAGTTTTTGAGCTATTGGAGGTGCTTTATATCTCTAAATTTTCCAAGTCTAGGCAGCATCAGGTTATGTAATTTGTAATTTTGCTTCTAGCTCCCAACAGAGTATGTTCACTGTTTCTCTGATGAACTCTTTGAAGGCCTTGCCAATTTCAGTTGCCATTCAGTTTAGACACTTATTTTGCAGTAGTATTGTGTCATGACTAGAGGCTGTATTTATAGGCACTAAGACACCGGATTTTAGGCACCAAAAATATGCAGAAAAACACTGTTTCAGGCCCCCAAAATCGTAAATATAGGCACAATAAACATTGACAAAATTCAAATTTTTGAAGAAATGTGTGTTATCTGTGTATGACAGGAAAGCAAACAGAAATGCGTTAGTTATATATGATAGTACAAAGGCGCCAATGGTTTAGTAGCATAGCCATGCAATTTTTTTCCCGCAGGCTTTGCAGAATACGGTCACTCCTTTCCTTGTTCAGCATGGGGAGTTAAGTGTCTACCATCAAATAAACACCCTCCTGGGACTCTTTCTTTTTGGCACGTCTCAAAAGGCCAACACAGGAGCAAATAGCCAGATGACTAGTAGGCCAAGGGGGTCTTCTTGCCTTTTATAAACTTGGTCTAACCGCACAGGGTCAATTACTCTTCTGTCTGGACACCTTAAAGGGCTTTTCGCCAGGCTTGAGAATTTTGAACTGGCTGGAGGAATGCATTCACTAGGCGCTCATGATCTCGTCTGCCAAAATTTGAAATGCTATGTGCCCCGGAAAGAGGTGAAATGCCAGACTAAACGCTGCTTGCCCCTCATGTCGCAAGCGTGCGCCCCTACATGGTGGAGGTGACGTACAGGAATGAATGGTCCTGCGTACATCAACGTAGTACGTGGCACTGATAAATATTCGATGCGACATGTGCAATCTGTTGCCTTAATAGAAGTAAGAATGTTGACAAAAATATCAAAACATGCAAATGGAGTCTGTCTATTATTTTTTTTAACTTTGTATCGAGTGAGATGCGAGACTAAGCTGCCTCTATTTCGTTTGCGTAGGTGTTCTTACCGTTCTCGCACCGTGCCGGTGCAACAACGCTTGGTGTGTTTTTGGAGCGTAGTCCTTTAAAGTATTGATTGATTGATATGTGGGGTTTAACGTCCCAAAACCACTATATGATAATGAGAGACGCAGTAGTGGAGGGCTCCGGAAATTTAGACCACCTGGGGTTCTTTAACGTGCACCCAAATCTGAGCACACGGGCCTACAACATTTCCGCCTCCATCGGAAATGCAACCGCCGCAGCCGGGTCCTTTAAAGTAGTTCCAGCGGTGCGACGCTATGTAATTGGTAATGATACATGATCCATGGCAGCCTCTGCAAACATGAATACGTAGAGTGATCCATCCCACAGAAATAGGCAGTACAATGCAGTGAAAGTCGAAACGACACAACACCAGCTGGCGAGCACAACCTAGCATGGGCATGTGATGCGAATGTAACCTTGCGTGCGGATGACGTGTTGATGCGTCTGCGTCGCGATCTTTTAGCTGCAGGTTGCTCCAATGCCGAAGCTGGCAATGAAGGAATTTCGCTTTCAAGCTCGCCTTCTCACATCATGCTTTTGTGGCTTGTAATGAACCAATAAAAAATTAAAGAGCTACAGAGATTTTTATTCTGCATGCAACAACTTTCAGTTTCTAAGTAAAATATATAGTGTGACCTAGTCAAGTGCGTTCAAGAATTAAATGACAAACAAATCAAAAACCACTGTGGACATTTTTTTTTTTTAAATCTACACTCTACTTTGCCCTCATGACACTCCACAGTTTCGCATTCGGTCATCGTCTTGTGGCTGCACAGAAGCAGCTCCTGTTCCCTATGCATACGAGCAGACATTGGGGAGATGCCGAGCAGACCAGGCGATGTGCATGAATACATGTGTAGAGGGTAATCGGCTTTCCTATTGGCCAAGAGGCCTGGTAGCCTTGTCAGTGCTGAAAGTAACTGATGAGATGGAGTATAGGTTGTGCCCCATAGAGCTCCAAAAGCTTGAATGTTGCCCGGTAACATGAATACCATTCTCAAACTGTATTAAAAGCAAAGTTTGAGGCTAAATAACGGTCTTAAAGGCACCACTTTGGAAAATAGGCATTTATAGGCACCATAAAAACACTATTAAAGCCCTTCTTAACCTCTAATTCATGCTCATATGTCAAAGAGGCACGATAGGGACAAAAAGCAAGATAGGCATTTGCTATAATCCATTCTCTAGTCATTAATTGGATAAAAGTTTCTCGATTCACTTGAATTATGCGAGGCAATATGCTGACCTGGCCAAAGATGGTGGTTCTGTGTGCTTGCTCAGAAAGGCAAAGGTGGCAAAAAAATGAGTCTCTGAAAGTTTAGTGCATTTAGTACCACACCATAGCCTCTCGATATTCTTGTCGGTGACCCTCATCCCATGCTTGGGTAATGTTTCGCTTATTAGAGCTCATTGATAGTGGCCACACCAGGAGGTCGAGTGGACAAGTCGGTCGCAAATCTAGCATGCTCAAGCGACAAATTGGCTGGCCACATTTGATTTATAAGCGACTGTTATGGATCACTCGTTTGCCCCTCAGTTGTACAGTTGCATGTGTGAAATCAAGCAAGAATTGAAATGAACTCCACTTAGACCAAAAATAACCATTTGTGACTGGTTGCTTTGCTTCTTGGCCGCGCTTTGCTAACTTGGCAGTGCGACCTCTCAAGATGACTGGTTCAGCAACCTGTCACAATTTGTTGCAAATCATTTCTTTTTATCAAAAAGTGATTGGGTCACTCCTCAAATATTCAGTCACGCTACTGCTGTCACAAAGGCTCTGCACCAGTCAGGTAACAGGACGTCCGCCAATGCAAGCGGACTGTTATGGCGGTGCGAACATAAGTCAACTTACACCTATTGCAACTCATTTCAGTGTGGTGATGGGCTGGTCGCATTTGTTCACATGCCTTTGCTCAGTTGCTGTGAGTGAGGCCTTGGCCTTGTTGCCTTAAGCTTAGAGCAGTATTTTAGAAGAGAAAAGCAAGCAATTTCATCCAAAGGTTTCCTTTTTGTGTGTGCCATGGGACATGAGCCTTGTGCAGTGTTAGTCCCGACATGAGAAAATATATATATACAAATTGAAAGAAAAACGCGAGCTTGTCACTCATGCTGATAACAGTTCATCACATAGCCTTGTAGTGAGCACCCTGTCTACTCGCTTTCATGTGGTCATCTTTTACACTAAGTATAAAAGCCTTGCACAAAACCAACATTTCTCTGGGTTCAGCTAGGCATTTGTCTAAAGCGAATAATGGGGCATGTTTCACTGTGCACCAGGGACTGTACCATGTTTCACCTGTACTTGTAGTAAGTAGGACACTGCTGTAATGGTGTCAGGTGGTGAGTGACATCACAGGTTGACATCGTGCGTGCTTTTCCCACTCCAGTCGGGTACAACTGTAGGCGTCAGTTTGGTAAGAATGTGCGCGCTAGACTAAATTCGGAAGTGGGATGGCCGGTAAGGTGACAGTCCACTCACGGGTAAAACTCTTTTGCTCGTGGAGGCAATCTGAAATTGTGTTTTGATTACCCATATTGGGCTCTCCGACATTTATAAGTACACTGCTCTAGGTGAAAACAACAGTTCACTCGCCCCGTTTCAAATGACCTCTTAAAACCAGTAACAAGTAGCCAACCCTCTAATAAATAGTTGCAGAAAAGCTGACTGGAATTCATTTGGTATTGTAAACATCTTCAATGACTGTTCATTCTAAATACATCCTTCTGCATCCACTTCAATGTGTTTATTATTGGTTTGCTTCAGCGGATTTGAGTGTCATGTCATGACAGATTTTCTTGTATTGTTTAATTTCAGCAGGCCGGCCAGGTCGAAAGTTTCTCAGGATCGCAAGGTGAGAGTGTGTTCATCTGTATAAAATGCTGGCAGTGCCTTCTTGGTATTAAGTATTAAAATAGGGCTTTAATCTTGTAGTATGAGGTAGTTTACAGTTGCTGTAGTGTTCTAAACGTTAAGCGACCAGAAAAAAAATGGGCTAACGTTTATTCAAAGCCCATTTGCAATTAATGCCCTCTGCATCTTGAACCTACTAACATCGCCACTTGTTGAGCCTGTGAAGTGTTGACACTTGTCGCAACTTTTTCTCAGAATGATGGGTCTGTGTTGTGTTTCTACAAGGACAGCTTCTAACTCCGTATGTGCATGTTATGACCTCTTTGTCTTACATTTATTTCATCACCGACGTTCCCCTTCATTCCACTCCATTCTGGCTAACAAACTGCAATAAGGTGTCATTGTGGGCTGCTGAGGGTATACTAAAAAACTAGGTAAAAAAAACTTAACCCCCTTTTTTTTTACTGCTTTAAAGAAAGTGGAATCGACTTTAAAAATTTCTAATCGCCATATTTTCAAACTGTTTTTCAGCTTGAAGGCATATACAACAATGCCCGCTTTGTCCACATCGCTGCATCACTTGTGGTAAGTTGCTGTACCGTTTACTGGTACATTAAATGCCTCTTGCGGTTTTTGTGGTGTATTTGGACAACTAATGCATCGGGGGGGGGGGGGGGGGGTATTGTAATGCCTGGTCATCTTGGGGCAGGTACCAAATGATGAAAAGCATGTCTGCGACAATAAACATATGAAGTTAAGCACGTGTGATGTAGCGGGGAAGTGCCTGGCGTGCTGTTGTATCATCCATAAATATATTACCATGTTGACAAGTCAATGCCAGGATTAATGTAGAAATGGATCATCTGACTACGCTATACTGAAACTGACTGATGCACTTTCCTGCAAACTGTGCTCATTGATGCCCTAATGTAACAGAACTAATACTTGTTGGATCTGATGTTTTCTTCACATCAAGAAAGTGACGGCATGCAGTACTGCAGACTAGAATGCATATAGACGAATCTCAATAAGGTGATCACCAAGGAGACAATTTTTCTTCGTTCTCATCAGGACCTTATAGTTGTGAAAGCAAAATTTGTTGAAAAAAGTTGCTGATATTCCTCTGTCCCACGTTCTTTTGAAGTAGCTGTACCTTTATTCTGGCAGGTCAAGCTTTGCATAGCTTCGTTGTCACTGTGGCCTTAGAGGAAAGTGCAAGTAATGTTGAAGACTTGCGCGAACTTACTTGCCTTTCTTGCACTTAGTTGCATTGCATTCCTCACTCATGTCGTCATTCAGATTTCCTTTGCCTGCGGTTTCTGTGCTAGGGTAGTTGCTAAACATTTCGCGCGTAACCAGGTCAGAAAAGTCGTGCAGTTACAAGCATCTGGTTTCGCTCCGACATGGCAAATCACGTCCCATGACTGCTAGTGACTGCAGGTTATTGGCGCTTGCGGAAAATAATACCTACTACCTACTAGACAAGTCGGAAAGCCGACTTGAAGCAGTTTTGAATGGTGGCTGGCAGATTATTACTTGAAACTTTTTTGTCATTGCAGGAGTGCTTTTTAAAACGTCTGCGTTGTCGAGTGGTATCATATGCACTTAACTCTATGGATGTTGACCAGGAACACCAGATTTCTTTGTTACCACAAGAATTTTGTTATTGAGGATCTTCATTATTGCAGTGTTCAACTGTATTGCTGCTCCTCCTTACGTCATTTTATGCTTTAGTTGAACCACACGTGGTGGAGCATGGTGAGGTATTGAGGAGTTTAGATTGTTCACTAAAATGTGCTGATTAGATGCAGTCGTTTGCCATATGACAAAGTATGACCTTAATTGTCCCAGTTTCTCTTTTTTGGTTGATACACAACTGTACCAAGCAATTGGAGGCACTGATTCAGTATCTCCTCAGAGAAACTTTTAATGAAGTGCTGTCGAACTCTATACTCTTAACTAAAAGCATTGACGCCTGCACAAATCGATCAGCCCCACTGTCTTTTCTTCGTTTTCACTGTAAGCTGTCAGCTAGTGTAATATGAAAAAATAGTTGGGGACGTTCTTGCTGTTTGAAAGTGTGTGACATTTCGTAACCCATTGCATGGCTGTTTAAGGGGTGAGCTGTTCGGCTCCCAAAAGCCTTGATGCTGATGCTTGTCTTTTCTTCCCGCCCAGGGTCATGTCGTCCAAGTGCAAGTGCGGGACGGAGAGGTTTTCGAGGGCGTATTCCGGACGGTTTCGCCTGAGGTGGGCCTTTACACCTTGTGCTTGTGGCAGTGCTTTCTCGTCTATAGAATGGTCCAGCTTAGCTGAACGAATTCTGCACTGACGACTTCTTGAAATTGTTAAAACACGATTGGTGCAAATCAGTTCAATGTGTTAAAGCTAATTTTAATCAATAAAGATTTCTTTTTCATACATTACGCATGTTTTTGACCATATCCTGGATCTTTTTTGCTAGTGAGGTGTCGTGCTGCTAAGCCTGATACAGTATGCTTAACAGGTCATGTGAAGTTGAAACTCCTGTTGTCCTGTCCTTCCCCTCTACGTGTCCTTTTGTGCAACTGTGACTATTATATTTGGTGAACGAAAAAAAAACAAAACATGACCGATCCCTCTTTTAAGAAATCAAAATAACACGAAAGTGAAACGTGTCTTCACCGAGGTAGTTAAGCGCTTATTTTGAATTGTTTTCCAGAAGGGCGAAGGAATGAATTCTACAGAACAAATAGCAATTTCATACCTGCCAAGTCTCCCACATTGTCCGGGAGACTCCCGGATTTCCACAGTGTCTTCCGTTTGTACGGTTGCCTTGAAAATCTTCCGGAAATCGAAATTTGTGTGCGAGATCTGGCTGCATTGACAAAAATGCAAGTGTCCGTTCTGGGCTTTTTGCAAGCCGACCGCATTTTATTATAAACGAATATAAGAGGCGTTCATCTAAACGTACAATAGTCTCAGTGGTGCAAAAACGTAACAGATACGAATTCGTGAAATTCCTCAGCCAAATTCTTGTGCCTGTTGGGCCGAAATTCGAATATTCCGAACACTTTTCCTAATCGTGGCGTGTGATATCAACTTTATTTAGTACCGAAATTGTCGAACGAAGGCCGATGGAGAGCAGCGTGCTCAAAGCTTCAGAAGTACGTGTGCGACTAGTGCACACACTGTCTTCTACAGTGCGTGTGGTTGTTGTTGCCACAACCGCTGTGGATGAAACCGCAGTCGTTCAACGCGGTCATGTATGGTGAGGAGGTTACTGACAGAACTCCAAAAGTGTGCACCCGGCCTGCACTCAACCAGTCAAAGCAACGCTGGTTTCCGCAAACTCTGTGGACAAAACTGCTGTAGTTGCGATCATAGATAGCGTAGAATGACTTAGTTTTGAAGGCATGTGGATTAAAAGCAAAACTACAGTTTGCTGCAACCGCCGCACACAAAACTGCGGCAGTGCAATAGCGATCTACTTAGTTTTGAAGCCACATAGTTTTGAGATACGTGGACTTAGTTTTGAAGGCACGGGGATTGAAAACAAAACTACCGTTTGCTGCAACCGCCGCACACAGAACCGCAGCAATGCGATAGCAATCTAGTCAGTCAGCCACGAGCCCCCGAGGCCATGTGGCTGACTCATCACTAGATTTAAGGCGGTAAAGGTGTAAAAAAAGATAGGAGCATTCCTGTCCAAAAAATTTAGTAGCGATCACGCTTTCGCGGCAGTCAGCTGCGCCAACCCATCCGTTCATGTGTGAAGACACACGCAAGTTGTTTTGACAAAAATAAATTTTTTTCGCTAGCTTTGATGATGCCAAATTTCAAGAGCATCTGAGCCCCCACCCCCTTCAATTTGAGACTCTCTCCTTAGTGGCAAACCCTACCCTCGTGTGTTTGGCCATTGCAAGCCATTATGAGACCGCAACACCGATGTTCGCGCTTGCGTTTGGGACCCCGCCCCCCCTCTTGTTTTTGGAGACGTTTTTTTTTTTTTCTCTCTCTTTTGGTGGCACAAATTGGGGAAAATAATTCAGTGGGCCAATTTGACTTATGGCAGCAAAACATGATTATGCTTGTCGCCTAAGGCAAATCCATCACAGCTGCAAATGAAAGAAAAAGTCACTAGCCCCTCAGCCGCTTCCCCGCTCGAGGCCTTTATGAATTTCTCTGTTGCCAGGTTGGCAGGTATGCAATTTCATGCGAAGAATGGCAAGCAGCTCGAAACTTACACCCTATGCAGAAAATACTGAGGAAATGAGCATACACAACATGAGCGCCAACAAACAACTGTCTCAGCTCGACACGTAAAGCATGCCGCTCGAACAGAAAGACACAAGAAACGAACGCAGAAGTATACAAAGGACGAGTGCAAACAACTGTCACAATTCTTACTTCATCATATGTGAGCAGCGTGCTCCTTTCATAAATGTGGCCGCGGCAGAGAGCGAAGTGACCTTCATGCTCTCCTGAATGTCGAGTCTGATTCGATGCGCGTGTGCACAGGTGAGTTATGTCCCGTGGATGCGTGTGCTCAAGGAAACTCTGAAACACGTGCGACGTGAGCCTGTTGCGCCATCTTGCTACCGATTACGAAAACGCGGTGAAGTGGAGGTGCTCTGAGGACTGCCAACGGTATACTGTGTATATAAATGGCTTGCTGTTAGCAAGCTTGACCACGTACATTCCGTGGCTTAGTGGTTTTTGTTGCATCTTTCAGAGTGAGAGTCAACTGGTTCGATGCCTCGCTACGGAACTTTTCCATCTCGTTTTTTTTTCTTCTTTGGAATCTTTTACTACGTCATATCCGTGACCGAAATACGTCAGTGGAGCCAAGGACTCTGGCATGAAACTCATGTTGAAAAAGGGTTTTTCTTTTTTTACCAGGGGCTTGTTTATAAAATACTTTTATTCAATTAAATCGGGGAGACAGTAAAGTTAGGCAAAGCATAGTGGATGTCCTGTGTAGGTCCTCTAAGCTTCCACTGGCTAACCTGTCTGTTCAATTCATTTGTTTGACTCTACTGTATTGGCTGTGACTTGGTGAAAAGAAAGTTCAGCTGTATTGTGAAGTTAAATTTCTGATACAGCTCAACCTGTCTATACCTTTGCTGCTTCTTGTAACGTTTGCCGTCATCCCTGCCATTGTGCAGCTCGAGGTAGTGCTGGAGACCGCTCACCCCGTGGAGCCAGGGGCACAGTCAGAGCCGTCGTCACTGTCGCGGCTGCTGACCTCGCTGGGCCGGGACCAGCGGCTCGTGCAGCTGATGATATTCCGGCTGCCAGATGTTGTCTCACTCTGCGCGCCCAACGCGGACTTAGACTATGCCACGCGGGACTCTTTCACGGACACTGCCATCAGTAAGTTCAACGGCCAGCTTGGTGAGCGACCCCTCGAGCCCTGGATGGATGGTGGCATTGCGGACGGCATTGGCGGCCTCGATGACCCTCCACTCGATGGGGAGGACACCGTGAGTCTTTGTCATTATGCTACCGTTGTCACTATGCTATAGTCTACAGTTCGTTATTGAAAACGAAGCTGTTAGTATATATTACTATAGCGACTCTAGATTGAAATATTAAACTAGTAAAGACTGTCAAATTATACCCTAAAAACACTAGCGTTGGTTAATTTCATAACCATAGGTTTATATTAACAGGTGATACAGTCAATGTCAAAAGGAAATTCTCAATTTCTTGCAAATATCTCCAACAGTAATCAGATGTTGCTGATTTAATTTTTTTTTTAATGTGTGGGAATAGTGAATTTTAAAAGTAAATTGAATAAGGATACAATTAAATAGTTCTGAAATAGCAAGGCAACTGTTTTCAAAAGAGGCCTAGAATTTTGTAGCTTTATTTCAAACAAATATTCATCATCTTTACAGAGTAGCACAAGTTCACATTGAGAAAACATAGGTTATGTAAGCTGACGTAATATTCTATACAGTAGTGACTAAAGCCTTCATGTTATTTTTTAGATGTAGGGTAAAAGCAGCAGTTACTTCAGTAAGCAGGTGCTTTTTTACCAGCTTTTAAGGGGGGAGGTGGCATTGAAAAAAAACTTCTTGTTGACCTACAGCAATGAAATTTGGCATGCATACTCATAATTGTCTCAAATAGGGAAATATGCAGTTTCATCATAATAGCTTATGGTGACCCCCGCTATTAACTGCAGCGGACGTTCACCGCGGGTTCACACTTAGCGAGCCACAGGGCCGCTACTCCGTTTACTCGCGTGTAGCGCACCGCTCCGCACGCGCTCAACTAATAAGGCGTTTATCGCGGCACGGCAAATAGACAGTGTTCTAATGTAAACGTACACAACACTTTATTGCCTCTGGCGGCACCCCGAACAACAGTAAAACATCTGCTCCCGCGACGCGGGTAGCAAAGGCACCCGCACGCGGACGTTCACAATAAGGGGAAAACCGCGAGCACGTCGCAGCTGGCAATGGCGAGCTTTGACACGCCGGTCGGGAAAAGGTCCCTCGCGGCTATGCTGCGCACTCTCACGATAGCCAATGGGCCTGGTCGCGAGTGTTAGGGCAAACCTCGTACGCACGCAAGTGCGGCTCGTTGTGGTACGACCACTTCGAGCACTAGGCACTGCTCTGGGCTTAGCGTACGCTACCGAAGCCAGCACTCAAGTAAACACACCTGCCGGGGTGCCCAAGGCCACCCCGGGCAGGCTACCGTCCGCGATTCCCAAAGGGGACGCGGACGAAGGAAAACACGTGCTTACCCGGCGCTGTCCACGGAGAAAGAGAGCGCTCCCTCGGCGCGCGCGTCCCTCGTGCCGTGCCCCGCATGTGGCGCCATCTAACGCCACGTGGTGTTAACAGAGCGGGGAAGCAAAAGGGTGTGGCCGTGTGGCGGAATGCCCGCGAAATGGTCGCAGGCGCGCCTCATATCCCCACAAGCTTCAGTAGTTCTCAAGTTACATAATGCTACATGGTCCAATTACATGGTCTGCTCGTGGAAAGCCTAGCACTGCAACAAAACATGCCAGGAAGCTGCGAATGGTGTTATCTTTACTCAAAAAAAAGCTACAGGGTATGGCACTCTCAGAATTTTTCAATAAGTTCTCTTTTTTTTTTTTTAAGAGACCATCATGGCTGCTGACGCATTGTCAGAAACAGTGGCACGTACAAATCATCGTCTAGAAAAAGAACAGGGCCATAAAACAAATTGAAGATTGCTGTACCCATAAGCAGTGTTCAGAGATTCAGGAAAAAAAAAACAATCAAAATCGGTCCAGTCATTTCCGTGCTACTCTTTCCACGAGCAATGCACAGTGACCAAAACACACTTTATGAGAAAAAGCCTGTCGAAGTTTTCGACAGGCTTTTCTCAATGAACTTTTTTGTTTCTCATTGGATATTGATGAAAATTGGCACAGACACTAACAATGACCTTACAGTGCTTCCGTAAAAATTTTGAAGCGATACCACAAATACTTTACGAGAAACAAATTGTTCCTTTGTTGAACCATGTGGAGGGACTGAGCATAAGGAAAAATACAGTATTGAGAAAGCTGCGTTTAAAGTTTCAACTTTTCTTTACGTCTCTAAGACACCTAAAAATTGTGATCTCAGGTTTGTCTTGTGATATTTGACTTCTTTTCATGATTTACTCCTTTTCGTGATTTACAAAGAACAAGTATGGATTTCAAACCAAGTTCTTTGTATGAAGGAGTGGGGTGATAGGTATGACAGAAAAGATTGTGATTGAATAAAACCATATACTGAAATTACACATATTTTTTGTGCTGAAGTTGTAATTAGGGTAATTAAGTACTTGATTACAAGTATTCACTGAACTTTTCTTTGTTTGGAGAGAGGTTTATTGCATCAGAAAAATCGATCACATCATGACGGCCTATGCCTTCTTTCCAAATAACAAAGTTGTGGGCAGAAGACTGGTGGCACAGGAATTTCTAGCAGTATAATTAATGACACGAAATGGGCATATAAAAATTCGTGCCCCTGACTCATACATGCTCTAGCCGTGAAACGCATCATCATACAGCCGGTCGCGGAAACTAATCTACAGCAATTCATTAACCTCGAAACATTCATAGACGTTCGTGGCGATATCAAGCACGGCTCCAAGCACGTCTGAATCTCGTCACAAAAGCTTATTGACAGCCCTTCATATGACCGTGGGGTGCGCGGCCGCGTGGACAGTGCAGCCGGCGCATAATGCACTTTCCGGCGGCGTTCGATGACGATGCGCGAAATGTGTAACTACGATGACAAAAAATCGGCGCGCACTGCACTTGGCATCGCATTTTCGAATGACGACGCGCGAAACTGCTAGCCGCTGTTCCGAGCAATCAATCCTTGGCAGTGAAGGGGGGGGGGGGGGGGTGACGAGCTTGACTGTGTTGTCCGCTGCCGATGCGTTAAATCCCCTTACGTGATTCAGAGGAGCTAGCGAGTGATGTGGTACATTCCTTGCGAAGAAGCACGTCGTCAAGAGTGCGCTTGCGCGTCGTTCCTGCCGGCAGTCTCGTTGTCAGCGGAGTTAGGGCTAAAGCCGACTTCGATGACATGCCGCACTCGTAGACCGCCGCGCGCCCACTCGTAGTTATCTGATCGTGCATCGCATCCGGTATGGCCACTCTTAGTAATCAGATCGTGTCGCTGCTTACAGCTTCAGTTGCTTGCGAAGAAGCACGTCGCACGAATGCGCTAGCGCGTCGTTCCTGCCTGCAGTCTCGTTGTCGGCGGAGTTAGGGCTAAAGACGACTCCGATGACACGCGGCGCTCGTAGACTGCGCGCCCTGCTCGTAGTGCCGTAGTAACCTGATCGTGCAGCGCACTTACTACTCGTAACTAAAGCGTAATTATATCTTAAGTGATTATCAAGCCGTGAACACGTCACAAAGTGGCGATTTTCGAGAGCCATGTCCTCGCGACGCACAAGCAGCAGACGATTTCCCGGAGCGAGCATTGGCCAATGGTGAGATGAGCTGGGGCAACATGGCGGCCTCGGCCAATCAAGGGCCTCAAAACGACCTTCAAACATTTTTTGCTCGCTTGTTGTCAAAGGGAGGAGCCAGCTGAGGCGGGAAAGTTAAAGACGGAGAAATGCTCTTTCCGATGAGCCCAAGAAGCCGGCTCCCAGCCCAAGCATAGTGAAGTTATAATTTTTTGAAAATCGCCGTTTTCTCGCCATTTCTAGAAAAAGTTTTGCTACCTAGGTGGGTGAAAAGAATTTTCCGAAGTACTTCTGCGCGGTTTTCAGTGTAGAAATTCTGAAACCAGATAGAAAAAGGGTTCCAGAAACTGAAAACTTGAGTTTCAAAAAATCGATTTTTTTGCCATTTTTCGCGATCCCAAAGCCGCATCCCCCCTTAAATGCTGCGAAGTCCGAAGAGTTTCATGAATTAACATGATAAATCAATCTTATCATAATAGTAGCGGATTGAGAATACGTTCGCTTCAGTGACACTGCAGTTGAAAGGCAAAATTCTTTCATCACGTGATGAGTATGTCTGATAGATCCCTAAAGGCTAGAACTACACACATCTTGGCAATCCACTAATTTAATACGTGCTCCCACACACTTTGCCTTTTCAGTGTTAGAGGTTTTCTCATTGCTAATTATTTGAAAGTTATTAAAAAAGTATTCGGTAATTTGGGTGTGTGCTATTCGATTCATATTTTAAAATTTTTGAATATTTGAAGTTTTTTCTTATCAAAGTTTGAGATTTTTTATAGCTTATGAAATGTACAAGATAATTCGACCACCTTGAAAGCTGTAAACTCTGCCAGTTCTTGCCTTCCCTCCTTTTTTTTTTTTTTTTCTTGTGTGGGTTTACCGCATTGTTTTGCCTGCTTCTTCCAGAATGGCTGGGACGCCAATGAGATGTTCAAGACAAACGCCGAGAAGTACGGGGTGACAACATCCTACGACAGCGCACTCTCGAGCTACACTGTCAAGCTGGAGCCTAAGAACACGGATGAGTACAAGCTGCAAGAAGCCAAAGCATCCAAAATTGCCCAAGAGATCGAGAGCAACCCAGTGTTCAAGAAGCGTATCGAGATGGAGAACGGGGACGAGGAGGACAAATACAGCGCGGTGGTGCGACCTTCTGGTGACAACGCACCACAGGGTGCCAGGTGAGCTCGCTGCATTGATAGGCTGGACCACTCTTCTCTAGGTAGACTGGCACCAGCGTTGAGTATGGGACCCTGAATAGTCTCGAGCCATCTCAGTGTGTTTCCTCTGCGCCACTTGTCTCCTGCGATCAGTCTCCCGCTTCGCGATTCCCAAATTCGTTGGCGACGGCAATGATCTTAAATGATATTGGTTTTCTACTGCTTCTATATGAGTCTTTCATCACTTGCTCAGGCAGATAAATATATCTGTGGGTTTGTATGCTTTACTCCCTTGGCGTCTACTAATACAAATAAACATGTGCATATACAAATAAAATGAACCAAGTGCCAGTGTGTCACCACCGCCGAACGCTACTCATGGGGGAGAACAGATCGAATTAGGCTTGGCGAATGGGTGGAGATGTGAAGAGCTAATGATATCTGTGAGGTAAACAATGCTCACACTCGGCGACAACTTTTCTTGTCAGCTGCAAATTCTTCAGGAGCTCGATCGAAGCGGCCTGCCCAAGACGGAGGTGGCGGAAAAAATACATCCCGAAATCAACACTGTCGGGGATCTGGAAAGACGGAGAAAAGATTGAAGGCACTGTTAAGAATGGGACCTTTACATCTAAACAGATGCGGACAATGCCTTATGAAGAACTAGAAAAAGTTCTTTTTTTGTGGTTCAAGCATGCACGTAGTTCCGATTTGCCCATTAGCGGACCGATTCTAGAGCACCAAGCTCGAGAGATCCCCATCCAAATGGGTGTTAAGAACTTTGTCCTAAGCAGCAGATGGCTCGGCCGCTTCAAAACACGCCATAGCCTAGTCTTCAAAGCAATTCAGGTGAGAGTGGTGCAGTAAACAGGGTCATTTGCACCGACTGGCAACAGGGGCGGCTTAAGGCAGTTTTGATTAGTTTTGAGCCACGTGACGTCTTCATCATCGACGAGATGGGTCTTTTTTATAAGGCCTTTCCATCAAAACCTGTCACCTTCAAAGGCGAAGCCTGCAGTGGAGGAAAACGCAGTAAAGATCGCATCACTGTGCTGGTGGGTGCATACAGTCAACTGCCGATTTTTCGGACATTCGAATTTTCGGACATGCCCGATTATTCGGACATCTTCGCGGCACCGCCACGAGCCCCATAGAATCAATGTATAAGGAAGTCTGAAATTTCGGACGCTCGAACCCCCCGGAGTCCAATTTTCCGGATTTTTTTACGCGACGGAAGGTCGGAAACCACCACTGGCCTCCAGTGGAAACCACCACAACTGCGTCACACGCGATTACGAATTACGATCGCATGAATGAGTCCGCCGGTCTCCTGTGGTGGCATCTGTTGCTTGGACTCGTTGATCGTTAGTGGAGAAACACACACGGCCTCCGAAATTCCTAACACTGGCCGTGTTTATCGTGCAAGGGTGCTTCGCTGACAATCGAAATTATCCACCCGGAAATTTTTTGGCGCCAATAAAGTTCCTTTCGCTTTAGCGCTTGTGCTCGTGCGTGCCACTCTGGCTTCCCGCGCAGTGCTTTCGCGAAGCGTTTCACCACTTAGAACTAGAACTAACCGTCACACACCGATTTGGTCTGGCCACACTGGCTATTTTGAATGTTTACCAGCGCCACTTCCGGAGTACCCGAGGCACCGTCGCCTGCCGTTGCGTGATGTCGAAAAAGAGGAACCAATGCCTGCGCCACCTACGACCGCCGAATTGATGCGAGCATTGATGACGCTGTCATCGGTGTACAGCGATGACATGACCCTTGCTCAGATCGAGGCGAATGTGATCACATGCAAGCGGAACGCCGCTCAAACAAGAATCAACAAGTTTTTCAAGCCACTGCAGCTCTAACACCTGCTGCCCTGACGGCGCTTGCTGTCGGCTGCATGCATTTTTTTTTAACGGCTCTTTTCAGAGCCACCCCACTGATGCTTTGGCAGAGTTCCGAAAGTCTGGTACTTCGACCTTGACCCTCTTGATCCGAGAAATATTAATGAAATGATGTGTTTTTTGCTTGCATTGAGAAATATTAGCAAAATGGTGCGTTTTTTTGCTTTCAGTGAAAATTATCGGTAAAATAATGCTTTTTTTTTTTTGCTTGCATTCATTTTTTCGGACTGCCCAAAGTTTCTAACGGTTTTTCGCTCCCTAGTGGGTCCGAAAAATCGGCAGTTGACTCTACATGGCAGGAGATGAGAAATTGAAGCTGTTGGTAATAGGAATATCAAGGCAGCCACGTTGTTTCAAAGGCGTTCTACATCTTTCCGCTGCGTACCATGGGAACGGAAAAACTTGGATGACCATGGCTATTTTCGAAAACTGGCTACGGGAGGAACACACAAGATTTACGAGGCAAGGCAAGAAGGTTGTCTTCATCGTGGGGAATTGCCCAGCCCACAGTCAGGTTCAAGGACTCCAAGCCATCACTCTGGAGTTCTTGCCAGCCAATGCAACGGCAGTGATCCAGCCGATGGATCAAGGGGTAATTCAGAACATTAAGTTCATTACCGCAGGCAATTGCTCCATCAAATGCTGCTTATAGCAGGCAGCGGGAAATGCTACAGCATAAATTTATTGGCAGCCATCCACATTTTGGTTTGTGCCTGAGAGCAAGTGAAGGCAACGACAATACACAGATGTTTTTCACCATGCTGGCTTTCAAGCGCCAGAAAGCAGTACCTGATGAAGAAGAAAGCCCTGCTGATGCCGACATTAAGACATTATTCAGCCAAGTCGTGCCCTCTGCCCCTTTTACGCTGCAGGACTACGAATCCATTGACGAAAATGTTCATAGTTGTCGGTAAGAGACTGTCGAGGAAATAATTGCCCAAGTGTAAGATGATGAGGAACCTTTCAGCGATGAATGTGATGACAATACTGCCAGTGCAGTGGTGCCACAAGAACGATCATCTAAAGAGGCTGTTGAACTTTTGCAGCGCTATTTTGAGAATTTCTAGCTAGTTTGTCAGACATGGGTGCATACCTTGTGAAAAAACAACTCAAGCTTGCCAGCAAACCACTCTTCACTTTGTCTCGTCTGAGAGAACGTTCCTCCGGCTTCAATTTTCCCGCGTCCGCCACCATTTGCAGGCGAAAAGTAACGCATAAAAAGCAAAGTCCTGAAGGTCCCATGCGGAAGCCTGACTGGCTGCGTGTGCCATGCGACACAAACGCGGGAGCGCCATTGTTCTCCTGAACAGTTGCCCTTGGCAACGGTGCAAATTATCCTCGAATCGGGGCGCTCCTCCCGCTGTCTACACTTTGTGCCTTCAAGCACGCCATTGAAGCGCTGAGTGAATATTTCGGTCGTGGGCGGCACAGTTTCGCCGTAGATTCTTGCCAGCGATCATGGATCGGCCACGGTGTAAGAGAAGATACCGAAAATTACATCAATTTGGCAGTCGTAAGCGGAAATCTCCGCACGTGAAAAAAAAATATATCAACAGCTTCCAGTGCTGCCTCTGCTGCTCAACGTGTTGCTGACACGCTGCCGTTTGCTCCGTGCTTTTGGTCAATGACTTTTCGAACCCGCGGCCGCGATCGTCGACTGACGATCTCTCGGACCCGCGGCCGTGTTCATCGCGCATAGATGAAATGCCATCGGTAACTGTCAGCGCAATTCAAGCTCGCTTGGAGCCTCGTTACAGATCACCACAAGCCTCTCGTGAGCGCACAGCAGTGAAAGCCTCGCTCAAGTCTGTTTCGGCAACTGAGCGAAAAATGAAGCCTCTTGGGGAGAATGAGCAATACACTGATGTGAAGCTGGCAGAAGAGTTTTTGCTTGCACAGCTAGCAGCAATAAGTGCCTCGTATAAAGATGTTTTGTGCCCAAAAGTGCTTTCAGAGTAAACTCAATCTTCATTTGGGAACAAGGCATGGTTTAGCAGCACGAATGATATTGAACTGCAATAGCTGTGGCATTGTGTCTGCCGAGTGGTCATCACAAAGAATGGAGGATGGCAAGGCTTTTGGTGTGAATTAGCGTGCTATACAAGCCATCAAGACCACTGGCAAAGGTGCAACTGGTCTAAATGACTTCTGGTCTATAAATGCATTGGGGCCTACACCACAAAACTTCTCAAAAACCTTTGAAATCAAAGTTCAAATCTGCTGGTGAAATGGCTGCAGCGAGTGTTTTTGCCAATGCTGTGACAGCTATGTGCTCTGCTTACAGCCAAATGGAGCAGACATTTACAAAAAAATGTCACAGTAGTGTATGATGGGACATGGACGGTGGATAATGGTCACGTGTCTCACATCAGTGTAGGCACAGTTAACGAGTTCGACACCGGCTTGCTGCTTGAATGCGTCGTTCTCTCCAACAGATGCCATGGCTGCACACTTGGGCCAAAAGAAAATGATGAAGGTATAAGGATTGGAAAGAGGCCCATGTTTGTCAAAAAAAGAAACACCAACGTAAATTCAGGCTGAATGAAGGTCGAGGCTGCACTAACTTTGTTCAAAAGGTCGCTGGAGAAGAACGACCTCTGGTACACATCCATTGTTTGTGATGGCGACAGTCGTACTTTCTAGGCTCTTTCTGAAGAAAAAACGTATGGCTTGATTCTCTTGGCAAAAGAAGATTGCATAAATCATGTAAAAATGAGGGTGGGTTCAGCTCTGCAAACACTTGTACCAAAAAGTGAAAAAAAAAAAAAAAAATCTGCCCATTGGAGGAAAGGGCGGCCTGACTCAAAAATTGATTAAAAGACTAACGAATTAATATGGTATGGCCATCTGTGACAACACTGAGGTTGATGACATGCTAAGAGCCATAATGGCAACGTTTCATCACATCACCTCTAGAGATGAAGAGCCGCACCATGAATTATGGTTGCCTGGACCACTGAGCTGGTGCAAGTACCGTGCCGCAGGAGCTTAAGGCAAGGGATCACCATCGCAAGCGTATAAACTGGCAGCACATGTTGCAGCTGCATTGCTGCCACTCTACCAACACTTTTATGACCCTCAGTTGCTAAATCGTTGCCAAGGCAAGAAAACCCAGAACGGAGATGAGAGTCTCCATTCAGTAATTTGGTCTTTTCTCCCTAAAGACCAAAATGCTTCATTGAATGCCGCCGAAACAGCTGTGAATGAGGCCATCTGCAAGTATAACTTTGGCCCTCTCCATTCTTATAGAGAGTTTTGTGCATCGCTCGGCCTGAAACCTGGAAATCACTCCATTCACAGAGCTGCAGAGAAGGATAAAATATGGGGAAAAAACATCAAAAGCGCACCAAAGCAAGCATCAAATGCCTAAAAGGGCCCGCATCACAAAGGACACCAAGAACTATGGATCGGCGCATTTTAGATAAGTGAAGGCAAGGAAAAACTTCTTGAGCCGTTTTCTCAAAAGTGTTTTTTTGCCTACCTGCTGAGATTGGGCAGTGATTTTCTTCGTAACAGTTTGGCCAATCTTGACTCTGTTTTTTTTGTGTTTTTTTTTTTGCCATATTCTTTAGACTTCGATGCGTGTAACATACTTGCCAAGTCTCCCGGATTAGCCGGGAGACTCCCGTATTTCGACAGTTTTTTTCCGGTTGTACGGCTGTCATAAAAATCTCCCGGAAAATGAAATGTCTGTGTTTGATCTGCCCGCATTGACAAAAAAGCAGTTCAATCCGCTCCAGGCTTTTTGTACCTTCTCCATTCTATTATGAATGAGTTCAAGAGGTGTTCATGTAAAGTTACTGTATAATCTCAGCGATGCGAGACTGCGGCAGATATGAATTCTTGAAATTCCCCAGCCAAACTCCACTATATGTCTATTGAGCCCTAAATTCGAATGTTCGGAACACATTTCCTAATCGCGGCAGGTGATACGAACTTTAATACGGAAACCGTCGAATGAAGGCCGAGAGCAGCGTACTTGAAGCTACTTGCACGACAATCACACGCACTGTCTTCTACAGTGCGTGTGATTGTCTGTCCACAACTGCTGTGGACGAAACAGGGGTTGCTCTTGACACGACGTTGTGTATGGCGATGACATAACTGACAGAACCCCGAAAGTGTGCGCTCAACCAGTCAAAGCAACACTGCATTACGCAAATTCTGCGGACAAAGTGTGCAGATGCTTAGAGGGAATTACAGTTTCGCTGCAAGGGCACAGCAATAAATGCGACAGCAACAACTTGGAATGTAACGACAAGCAGGTCAAAACGTGCAGCGCGCTGCTCACACACAAATGACGCACGAAGACGATACTCACAGGATGAGAGCGAATTAACGTTTACTGCTCGACACGCAACGCGCTGTTTAAACAAAAACGATGCACGATACGTAATTGCAGGTACAGATGAGTGCAAACAAACTAGTGTCCCAGTTTTTATACCTCGCTGTGTATGAAAAGCGCGCTGTTTTCGCAAAAGGGGCCTGTGCAGAGACCAAAGTTACCTTTGTGGGCCTGGCAACTAACGCTTTCGTTTCAGTGAAAGCCTTACGATTCCCCCACCAAAGGATAAGCGCGCTCACAGGCATCCATCCATGGGGCAAAGTACACCTGAGAGATAAGCACGCATCGGCGTATCGCGCCGAGCCCGGCACCGAGCGCGGGCGACTTTTTTAAAGACGATAGTCCTCTTGGACAAAAGTGTGGCAGATGCTATCGTAGATGGCGTAAAACGACTTGGTGGCGACGGCAAAAAACAAAAAAACAGCATGGACTGTCTATATAAATTCTATTGCAATAAAAAGGGGTCTGACGCCTGTTGGCGTTCCTGTCAAAAAAATCTAGTAGTGAGCAAAGCTTTGACCCGCGCTTTTGCGGCAGCCAGCTGCGCCATCCCGTCCGTTCACTGTCCCAGGAAGACACACGCGAGTCGTTTTGACTAAAATAGATTCTGCTAGTTGTGTTGATCTTTTGAGACTCTCACCTTAAGGAAAAACTCTACCCTCATGTGTTCGGCGACTCCTAGCCACTATAAGACTGCAACGCTGATGTTGGCGCTTGTGATTGAGACCGCTTCCCACACCCTTTTGTTTTTCGTGATGTTTTTTTTTTGTTTGTATGCCCTTGTTTTTTGTGTGTGCCGCGCGCACCCCCCTCCCCTCACCCCCTTTGCGGAAATCTCCCGGATTGAGAATCCTTGAACTTGGCAGGTATGATGTAATGACATTCTTTCTTAGTTGCACTCTGTGCAATTTTACGATGTGACTAGTTGTTCACCCCTAGAGTGTGCCTAGTGCGAAGGTTGAAGGTTGCAAAAGGAATCACAATGGAAAAATTTTGTTATCAAAAAAAAAAAATAATAAAGGAGGCATGTCATGACAATCGGCGTGCATTCAGCTGTACATAAAATATTTTTTTTAGCCTTCTAGTGCATTTTTAAACTTTCCAAGGCACTGTGCAAAGTGCTAAGGATTGCAAATAGTAAAAATTTTTTTAAATAAAAAGTTCTGAAGATACTTCTCTGAAACTTTCATGAAAGCATTAGGAAGACATGCTGAATATTTGTGCTAATTTTCATCATCTGCTAAGTTTTAAGAAAGCTGGTTTTTCAAAGCCACATCCCCCCTTAAAACTAGACACATAATTTTCTTGGCATTGTTATTTTTGTGAAATGAATCTGCTTTACAGAAGTTTTGAGCAAGTTTCTATGAGGATATCTAAACAAACTTGATACCATTATTTTCTGCAGCACTTGAACTACAGGCTAAAGCTTTTCTTTTTCTTTCAACCTTAGTAGAATTGTAATTATATGATAAATACTAGCTAATTACTGGAAGCTTATTTTTACCTACCACGTTTAAAAATTATTTCTGATCAAAGAAACAGCCGTTTTGACATCTAGTTTGCTTTAGCTTGTGGGATGAACCTTTTAGAGGAAACATGTAGTTCTGAAAACTTTTTGATTGTGATTATAACAACCCATAAGAAATTACCTAATTATAATGTGGAAATTCGTCATTATCTGAATGAGATATTAAAGATCTGTTTGCAGATTTAAAATCTCCATTCAATGGTATACGTGCATGGTAATTTCCACGACAGTAGGATAATGAAAAAGTTTTTTTTCAAGACCCTTGTCCCCCCTTAAGGCTTAACTTGTCACTGGATGGGTTTTTAAAACTTTTTAATGAAAATTTGCAGAAAAAAAAACTATTGCTTGATCATTAAGTGCATGTTTCTAAGGACAAGTCCACATCCAAAGAACTACTGGTATAACAACCACTTTTCGCAGTTTTTTCGAGTTCATTGTACACAGGTTTGACTCTACTTTCATATTTTCCTGTTTCGTGGATTCTGTTTTCTGTTTGGTTACATACCTCCTTTTCCCCCCCCCCTTCCAATTGTATAAAAAAACATGCCGTGGGGTTCTGCTGTGTAATAAGCAATCGAGTGTTTTTTGCATTTCACTTTAATTGAGTCGCTGTTGCTGCTTTGGCTGGGATTGTAACAATGGCCTTGAGCTCAGCTGTTCTCTTAAAAATAGCCATTCACTAAGTGCTCTCAAATCGTGACAGGTCGATTGCCACTATCCCTCGAGAGGAAGGTATATAACAGCTGCATCTTGCCAGTACTTAGCAATGGAGCAGAAACCTGGAGACTTACAAAGAGGGTTCAACTTAAATTGAAGACGACACAGCGAGCAATGGAAAGGAAAATGGTAGGTGTAACCTTAAGAGACAAGAAGAGAGCAGAGTGGATTAGTGAACAAACCGGGGTTAAAGATATCATAGATGAAACGAAGAAGAGGAAATGGACATGGGCCAGGCATGTAGCACGAAGACAGGACAACTGATGGTCATTAAGAGTAACTAACTGGATTCCCAGAAAAGGCAAGCGGGTAAGGGGGAGACAGAAGGTTAGGTGGGTAGATGAGATTAAGAAGTTTTCTGGTATAAATAGGCAGCAGCAAGCACAGGACCGAGTTGACTGGTGGAACATGGGAGAGGTCTTTGTCCTGCAGTGGACGTAGTCAGGCTGATGATGATGAAGCTACCTACTGCAGTGGGTGGTGACAGATTTTAACCGACACGTCGTGCCCGTTGCAGGTACGTGCGGCGGAAGCCCCTGGGCGGATCCAAGCCCCTTCGTGGCACACCGCCCCCGGCAGCAGTGGCGGCTGCGGGCGGCCCACCTCGCGGGGGCCTGCCTGGCTTCAAGGGGGGCCTGGCTAGCCCGTCTTCCTCGTCGCCCTCGGCTCCGCTGCCCCCCAAGCTGCACCATCCGCCCAAGCATGGGCCGCCCCACACGGCCGCTGCTTTCCCCGAGCTTGACACTTCCCCACGGCTTAACGGGGGTGAGTGGTGTTTGTGCTGTGTGTGTGTTCATGCATTGGGCCTAGTTTGTTAGGGGCTGGTGGTTGTTCTGGTGATTGCGCAATGTCCTTCGTTGTGCCTATCGTAATCCTAAATCCCTATGTAGAGCTTGTCTAGCACTGCCGCTTGTGCGCGTTCGTGCTAACCACCATATTCCTGCATCCGTTGCACGTGTTGATTGCAAAACCGACGGAACGCTATTCCTGCATCCGTTGCACGTGTTATTGCAAAACCGACGGAACGCTATGTCAAGTCAGCCCATGTGGGAACTGAGCTGCACAGTCTCGGTCACATATAAAGAACACTCATGCATTCCAAACGCTGTTGAAATGATCAGTGTTGTCGTCAATCGACAATAAACGTCAATGAAGTCTTGAAAATTTGCCCAACTGATTCCCTCTTTCTTGTTGAAAACCACGCTTGCGAGTGTGCTCAGCACGGCCCAGTTTGTTCGCAAATCACGCATTGATAAACGTTGAGTGACGCTGCCAGTGGAATTTCTCACCGTTCACGGACTACTTAACACCGCCGTGCGATGAAACTAATGAGGAAAAACCAAATGTAGTCGCATAAGTCTTCAGCACTCTTAGAACCCTAAAATGTCATTCTCACTTCCCATCTTAGGACAGTTGTTAACGACCGATTCAAGAGAAGGTGACTGTAGGAAAAGAGAGGAAGTGTTTGACCAGGCGCCTCACCCTATTTGTCCCCCCCTCCCCCCAAAGAAAAAGTAACACTTCTCTTACCTTACCATTTGGTTGCCCTCTGTCATATCGGACACTGTATTCACAATAGACTCATTAAGCAGATTTTTTTTTTTGCATTAAGTGTATGGGTAATTAAACAAACACTCCCATGTTGTTACTCTTATTTGACTCGATCACTATTTGCACAAGCCAAGCGTTTTATTGTTGTTTGCGAAAGTGATGTGTGCTGAGCATGCATCTCCTATCATGTCCTTGGCAGCCCCTAAGCTAGAGAAAGAAGGCCCAATGAGCCCTGGCTTGGGCGAGGGGCCGGTGCCCGACGAGACCTCAGTGGTAGCCTTAGCTGACGAGCCACCTGCTGTGGACAAGGGGCCTGCAGACCGCAAGGGGCCACCGCCTCCACTCCAGAAGGGCCGTGTGCAGGAGATTGAAGAATTCAAGAAGTTTAGCACCAGCATCAAGGTGAGCTGATTGGGACTGCAAATAGTCTCATAGTGACTGTTAAACAGCGTAGCTGCCCTCCTGAAAAGCTTAATTGTAAACCCATACAAGATCACGGTGAAGCCTCGGTCAAGGAGTGAAAGAATGGGGAGAGAAGTGGGGCCAACTTTTTTTGTCAGTACCCACATGCAATTGAGTCCCCGGTCGGAACGTGCCTTTTCACCCCTTTAGACAAACAATTGGGGGTTATGAGGCACTGAGAGTCGAATTCAGTAGCTGCCGCGTTGGAGGTGCACGCTGTACAATGCTTACACCCCTGTTGTGGAAAATAATCTGAATGACCAGGGCATTGCAGTGTGCCAGCCTCTCCTGTTAGCACTGGCTTGTGGCGGCACCCTAATTTGTGACATTTACAGTCGTAAAAACGCGGTCAAAAGTGTTGCTTCGCTATCTCTTGCCTGCAGCTCGATGAGGGCAAGGAGTCCAAGGAGACGACTGGTGCTGCTGCCGCAGCGGAAGACGAGGAGAAGGAGCGGAAGGAGATGGATGAAGCTGCCACTGCCAAGGAGGAGACGGACCGGCTTGTGAAGAAGTCCACCCTCAACCCCAATGCCAAGGAGTTTGTGCTCAACCCCAATGCAAAAGCCTTCACTCCGGTGAGCGGGGTTGGGTTATGGGCTGGCTTTGTGTTATCTGCCAATAGCTAGAGGCATGAATCTAGCCCGTGTGTTCAGTTACAGTGGTAACGATTTTCGTAACATTTTGCATTCACAGCTTCTTCTGCATTATTGTGGTTCGTTTGGATGTACTACCAATGTGTTGAAATGCACACAATTGATGAGTCTGTGCGTCATTCTGTAATGCAATATTTTATTTGAAGTTTTTGTTTGCAATTGTTTCTCAATCCGGGAGGACTGCAATTCTTTGTTATACCAGTGTCCTTGGTTCTCTTCAGTAATTATACTGTACAGTGAAATCTCGATACAAGAAATCTCAAGGGACCGTTAAAATCATTCGTTATTTTTTAAAATTATTGTAGTTAAAGTATTAAAGATTTGCGCAAAAATCTCAAAAGCTACCACGTTAGTCGCCTACCTACCGTATTTACTCGCATAATCCTCGCACTTTTTTTCCCGGAAACCTGATGCAAAGTTGGGGGGTGCGAGAATTACGCGGGGAAAACTTTCTATGAAAACGCAGAGAGCGAAAAAAAAAAAAATGAAGTGGCCGCAAATCGGGATTCTCGCACCAGCAACTTACAGCAAGCTTTACAAAGTACCGTATTTTCTCGCATATAACCCGCCCTCGCATATAACCCGCTCCCCTAACTTTGAACTCCCCGAAAAAAGAAAAAAAATCCTCGCGTATAACCCGCATGCTTAGCTTAAAAAAAACTGTTTTGGGAAGTCACAGTCACAATCTCGTTTACAAAAGAACTTTATTTCGAAGCGATCGCCGCAACGTTGACGGCGCCGATTCCCGTTCCTTCAATCATCGCCCGACTCGCCGCTGTCGCTGCTGCCATCCGAGGCTTCGTCGCCGCTCTCGAAGACGCAATCATCTTCGGTGCCATCCAAGCAATTGCTGATGGCGCACTTTTTGAAACTCTTGCGCACCATGTCGGCCGGAATCGCCCCCCACGCATCCACGATCCACTGGCACAGCAGCGCAATGTCTGGCCTCCGCACGCGCCCCGTCGGTGTGAGGGCGTAAAGGCCGTCGGCCATCCACTCGGCATACAGCCGCTTCACGTGCGCCTTGAACGGCTTATTGAGGCACACGTCCAGTGGCTGTAGCATGGAAGTCATGCCACCGGGTATGATCACGAGGTCGGTGCGGTGGTCAGCGAGGCGCGCTTTCACTGCGTCAGTGCAGTGGCCTCGAAACGAGTCCAACACCAGCACCGACCGCCGTGCCAACATGGCGCCCGGCCTCTTCTCCCAGATCGTGCGAAGCCAGTCACAGACGAGGTCACCATTCATCCACGCGTTATCTTCGGTTCGCACAACAATCCCTGGTGGCAGTGGAGTGCTGGGTAGCGTTTTGCGCTTGAAGATTACATACGGGCGCAGTTTGGTACCGTCCGCCAAAGCGCACAACATTACTGTGCAGCGTAGTTTGGTGTTTCCGCCCGTCAGTACGCTTACAGATTTCGAGCCCTTTTTCTGCAGAGTGGTGTCCATGGGCATCTCGAAGTACACGGGCGTTTGATCGGCATTTCCCACCTGGGAGAGCAAGTAGTTGTGCTCCTTCCGCAGCCCGATGACGTAACGTTGATAGCTCAACAGCTTATCCTCGTAGGCGTTGGGAAGCCGCTGGCACATAGTCGTTCGCCGCCGCATCGAAAATCCGTGCCTGGCCATGAATCGCTGGAGCCATCCACGGCTCGCACGAAACTCGCGTGAGATGTTCATCTCGCGGGCCAACCTCAGCGCTTCCATCTGCGCCATCTCCGTTGACACAGCGTGGCCGCGACTCCTCCGCTCCTCAATAAATTTGACAAGCTGCGTCTCAAGAAGGGGGTACGCACCAGTCTTCGGGCCGCGAAATGCTCGCTTCTGCTTGTGTGCACTTTCGAGAGAGGCCTTTTTTTTTCGCCAGTCGCGAATGCAGGACTCGTCGACATCGTGCCTCCTCGCAGCAGCTCTGTTGCCGATTTCTTCCGCAGCAGCTATAATCGCGAGTTTTTCTTTCGCGGTGAAAGATTGTCGCCGAGACCCACTCATGGTGCCTCACCAGACAAAGCTGACCAACGGTGCAAACTGGCCACACCTGACTCTGAGACAGACGCTGTCAAATCGCTGTTGTGACGCTGTTGACCAAATCAAACAAAGCACGCAAAAAGTGAATAAACACGCTACGGACGGGATCTGTCTATGGCCTATGTTGGCTTTTATTGGCTTTGCACCAGACGATGCCGATGGGGATGCGGACTGCACGGCAGGCTATGCATTGCCGTGAAGCCGACCTCTGCTTCCGGATTATTCGCAGATAACCCGCACCCCCACTTTTCAGGCGATTTTTTTCAATTTTTGGTGCGGGTTATATGCGAGAAAATACGGTACTAATTAGAACTTACCTCAACAATAAAAGCAGAGGTTCAACACAAGGCAAGATTTATTTGAGACAGAAAAAGTGGAAGCAAATAGTCGAGAATTAGAACACCATACGCGAAGCTTGTGGGCGTTGCGGGCGTAGCGGTATCAGTCGGCTCTCAACAGGAGCCCTCAAAAGGTAAGCGTAGGACGTCAGTATTGGGCTGATGGCTTGATGGCTGATAAAGTTTACCATCAATCCCAGTTTTAGGCACACAGCAGGCCCAACGCGTCTTGGTGGCTTTCAGCTGCCGTCACCAGTAGCGAACACAAAACTCGTAGGCTCCGAAAGCTCCGAAAGGCCTACCGTATGCTCCGAAAGGCCTACCGGCGGCTCTGTTGCCGTTGTTTAGCGTATGACCTATCACTTGCAACTTGAAGCAGCCGTGTGGCTTCAGTATCGCCCCATAACGTGCCAAGATAACCGACACAACATACAAAACACGCCGCAACGCGCACTGGCCACTTCGGCTTGGCTTAGATTGGATTGAATCTCCGTGCAATAGTACGCTTGATGCTTAAGAGATGGCGCCAAATGGCACGCGCTATCATCATCAGTGGCTGGAACGAGCAGACGACATTATTGCGGCAGTTTTCGGGGGTGCGATAATTACCCGAGGAAAAAAAATTTTCGTATGTTTCTTGGGCGATGTGGGGGGCGCGAGAATTATGCGAGTGCGAGGATTATGCGAGTAAATACGGTATGCTGTGTATACGTTCCCGACTGCGATTGCTCTAACAAGCCCCCCCCCCCCCTCCCCCAAAACAAAACACAAAATATTATGGTACCTGGGCATATTTATTTGAGGAAGGGTGCGATCTATACTGATGTGGGCAGCTCAACTGCTGAAGGGAACTTTTAAGTAGGCTTGTGTGAATGGTGAATTTTTGGTTCGAAGCGAATTTGAAACGAATAGTGATTTCAGACGAATAATTTCGATTAGAATATATGATGTATAAAGAAAAATAGGCGTATTAATCATGACCTAACTAACCTGCACAATATATTTTTAAAAATTGATTTAAGGCCTCTATGCAAGTGATTTTTTTTTATTCAAAGGAAGTTTAAACGGCTTTGAGAAGTAGCAGGATTTGACTTTCAGTAAGATATAAGTGATAGCCTGTAAAATACGTAGCAATATTCATTACAGTTAATGGGTATAAGTTGGCAAAATAAGCTTGTAAGCTTTAAAAAAATGATCAGTTGATTTGAGGATCATATTTTCTTTTAAAGGCTTTTTCAACAGCTTTCCATGTAGCTATGGAATGTATTCACTGTAAAAGCTTATTGCCTCATGCATATTTGCCAAGTTTCTTGGATTGGCCGGGAGACTCCTGGATTTTGACCCTTTTTTTCCGGTTGTACAGTTCTCATGAAAAATCTCCTGGAAATCGAAATTTCTGTGCGTGATCTGGCCGCATTGACAAAAAAGCAGCTCAATCCGCTCCAGGCTTTTCGAACCTACCCCATTTTATTATAAATGAGTTTAAGGGGGGACGTGGCAAGTAAAACTAATTTTTTTATTAATGTACTGTTTGTGATGAAATTTGGTGTGTGTATGTGGATGATTGTGAGGATTCCAAATATGAAAACCGTTTTCAAATACCTCTTGTACTTTTTGAGTTACAAGCATAATTATACTAAATAATGCTCTTCACACTTAAAGAGATAATTATTGCTAAATGAAATTATTTTTTCATATTATTATGTTCCCAAAGCATCAACTTGTGCAAAGAAGCTATTAGTTGATTTTTCTAGTTCTTGTAACCATAAATAAAATTTCCAAAACATAGATGTTGTTTTGCGCACACATCGCAGTAATTATAAAATGTGTTCTAAAAATTTTAAATGATGAGTAAGAAGAGAGATAAAGCTTTATTGCACTGCTAAAGGCCTCCTGAGCCTAGTGCAAAAAACGGAACGACTCTATCAGTCTTTGTTAGAAAATGACTATTGTTCTAGCGAAGGCACATAGGCGAAAATCAAGAGTTGAGAAAACTGACTTTGAAAGTTCACTCTTGTTTGGAAGTTCACAACATGCCTAAAACACTCAGAATCCTCCTGGGCAGTAATCCTGAGATGCTGTGGCCTTGGCCTCTGTAGAGCGCAACCCAGTTTTGCGCTTCTTTGTCGTGGAACAATGCGCCTTTTGAGCCCTCTTCACCCTTTTGGCATCCTTTTCGGCTGCTCGCCGCAAAGAGCAGTCTCCTGGATTGAAGCCCAGTTGAGCAGTGATCTCTTGCAGCGCACTCTTGCAGCCACCATTGAAACGGCAGACTGCATCTGCAACTGCACTTTCCACACTTCGAAGGGAGGCGAACTGGCTCTTGGACTGGAGTGGCCAAATGAGGCTGTTCATACTCTCCACAGCGTTCTGGGTTTTTCCCTGCGCACACCTTTCAAGGAGCTCTTTGTTCGAGAGGCGCTTGTAGATTGGCAGCAGTGCCACTCGCACGTGAGGGGGCAGTTTATGTTTGTGAGGCGGCAGCGGCTCTCCCTTGGCCAATGCCTGATTGTGCGGGCACCAGGAGTCAGTCCCACTTGGGCACAGGTCGTGGTG